TGCTGGCTCTTGAATTCTTTATTATCTAAATCAGACTAAGTTGTATTTCATTGTATTTCATAATTATCTTCAGGCAATTGTTCAATATCACATAAAAACTAAAACTTCAGTACATATGTTATTGGCAATTATGCTTTTGACAACTTATTCAAAGGATTAAACTAAAAGATATGCTATCAGCATAGATTTGTAAAATATGTTAAGACTTAAAATAAGTTAAAGCCAAATGACAAATTAAGAAAAGAGTGAAGATAAAAAAGGGTGAAATAAAAAAGAAAAAAAATGAAAAAGAAACAACGGAAATATTTTAGGAGCCATGTCTAATCCCAGGAGAACAGGTCAGCCCAGAGATGCCTTACAAGGTTTCTTTTTCTGACTAGGGATACTCCAGCCTCCTGAAGGAGACTTAGGGACCAGTGAGATCCACCCAATGATGGATTATGGCCAGCCCAGATATTCTACCCAAACCTCCCTGGCCTCCCAGGTCTTTGCTGATCTTTTGCTGGGGCACAGCCCCACTCCTTCACAGCCAGAGCAGAAAGAGGAACAGTGGTCATGCTTAAGGGACTTACAGGGAACTTTCTGGTTAGTCTTTGATAAGTCTGTTGCAAATAACTGAATCAGAATACAGTTAGGTTTTATTTATTTATTTTTTTAATTTTTGCTATAGGGCATGTGCATTTGTCACTGGAGGTAGCCAGTGAGAGAGAGAAGAGAATGAGAAAGCACCTGTTAAGGGATATGGGTAAGCCACAATCCTTTTGCCATCTTTCTCTTTGTACTATTTTGGGTATGCATGCACACATGTGTGGTGCATTTTTTAAGCCATCCAGTCAGGGACTTGAACAATGTAGTTGACCATGTGGGATCTAGCACATTCACCATGCCCCCTACTGGCTCAGCATTGTTAATTTAAAAAAAAATTCAAAATAGCTAGCAGGTGATGTAATGATTTAGGCACTGGACTCCAGCATGATCCATTATGGTTTGAGGTTTATAAATCAAGATGCTTATAAATCACAATGAGCGTGTGTGTGTGTGTGTGTGTGTGTGTGTGGAGAGAGAGAGAGAGAGAGAGAGAGAGAGAGAATTTGTGTGTCTGTGTGCCCAAAATCCTTACAGGAGAAAGGAGTAGATGAGATTGTGATATGGATAGGCCTTGAGTGGTAATTTCTTACTTTCCCTCTCGTTTTCTGTCTCTTTGGTGAGCACATGTGCATTATGGCAACCCCCCCAAACAAAAACACAAGATGGCATCAAAGTTTCTTCTTTCCATGAGTAAAAGAGACAAAAAGAGGACTAGAGAGATCCATAGAGAAACAGGCATCCCCGAAGCATCTCAACACATTATCTACCCTGAGCCCCATTCAGTCCCACATCGTGGGTACAAGTATGCCCAGTACACTCAGGGAGATCTTGAGATGTAAACTTTAAATCTTACCATGTAAGTTAACCTTGCAGTGTGTCATGTTTTACCACTTCACATTTGTTATTTTTTGCCTCATAGAAAATGCTCATTCTAACTAGGGTAAAGTGAAACCTCATTGTAGTTTTGATTTATATTTAATTGGTAATTAGTGATAATGAGTATTTTTCCACATCGCTATTAAATGTATTCTTTAGAAATGTTTACTCATGTCTTGATTTTATTCTGTAATCAGGGTTTTGTTTTGTTTTTTTTTTTCTTTTGGGTTTATTGACATTCTTATAGACTCTGAATATTAATCCTTCACTAGTTGAATATATTGAAAATACATTGAGGAGAGGCAAGGGGCCTTCAGAAGAAGACATGCCCATGGCTCCTGAGAACTAGTGACTTCCGAGAAAAAAAGAGAAATAAAGATTTCTACTGATAATTCAGCCTTCAGCCCACAAACCTGAGTGTTAGGGAACCCCACAAGCTTTCTCTCTTGATCTCGGTCTCTGTCGCTGTCTCTCTCTGCTTCTGTCTTCTCATCTTTTGTGATTTTTCCTTTTTAAAAATGTTTAAGGTAAAGTATTTTCTCGGCTTTCAGCCCCTCATTTCTCTTGTTAATAAACCTCTCTCCCTCTCCTATCTAGGTGAGGCAAGAAGACCTCAGAAGACACCTCCATGACTCCTAAGAACTAATTTTCATTTTTTACTTTTTTTTTAAAAAAAACAATAATTTTTTTTAGTTTTTATATACCTTTTTTCCTTCTTTTTTCCCTCTGTTTCTTGGTTTTTTTTTTCTCTCTCTCTCTTTCTATGTTTCTTTTTCTTTTATCTCATCTCTCTGCTCCTCAATCTCCATTCACAGTGTTTCTAGAAGGATCTAAGGGAACTATAGCCAAACATCCAAATACTATTAGGGTTAACATATTCCTCAATATCTACTAAATCTGCTGTGCAAAGGGATCAAAACAGAATGGCAAAGAGATTCCAAATCACCTCTTTCTGTGCACTCCTGAACGCTCAGATTGAACTTCAAGTCTAGGAAGAAACACGCCATCCATCAGATGACTAGAAATCACTGCAGGGACACAAGAAATATGGGAAAGCAAGAAAATAACCTCTCCTCCCAGGGAAATGAATAAATCCTCTTCATCCACAGAGTTCAATGGAAATCATGAAAATGTCTGATAAAGAATTTAGAATATTCAAAGTGGTGAAGCTAACAGAGATGAAAGAAAAGAGAGATGATAAACTGCAGAAGAGAAAGGAGAAAGGAGCTGATGAGTTCCAGGAGGTGAGAAAACTCTGGCAAGATCTAAAAGAGGAATTACACACTTCACAAAAGAATCAAAGGGACCTGTTAGAGATGAAGGCTATAATACAGGAAGTCAAAATCTCCCTTGAAAGTATTAAAAGCAGACTAGATCATACAGAAAATGGAATCTCAGATGTAGAAAAGAAAATTGCTGGCCTAGAAAAATCCACCACGAAGACAGAAAATTACCCCCCAAAAATGAGAATAATATACTACAGAATATTAGATATGAGAAATACTAGATACCATCAAATGTCCAAATATCTGGAAAATTTGTATTCCAGAAGCTGAAGAGATTCATAAGGGCATTGACAATTTATTCCATGAAATTCTGTAAGAAAACTTTCCAAACCTAGAGGGTCACTCAAAGATACAGTCCTAAGAAATACAAAGGACCCCCAATAGAATCAACCCAAGAAGATTTTCTCCAAGACACATTATAGCCAGATTGACCAAAACCACAGACAAAGACAAGATATTAAGATTGACAAGAGAGAAACAGCAAGTTACCTACAAAGGATATCCCATCAGGCTAACAGTAGACCTCTCATCAGAAACAACGTGAGCAAGGAAAGAAGGGGAAAATATATTCAAAGTGTTAAGGGAAAAACAATTTCAACCAAGAATACTTTACCCAGCAAGATTATCCTTCATATGGGAAGAAAAAAACAAGAAAATTTTCCAATAAACACAACCTAAAATAATTTACCAGCACCAGACCAGATTTCGAAGTTCTCAAGAGAGTGCTATATCAGGAAAATTAAACACAGACACACAGAAATAAGAGTTCAAAAACTAAGAAAATGGTCAACCGAATTATAGGGACAAGTCCGGAGTTGACTATTATATCCCAGAATTTAATCAGGAAGATCGATCCACAACAGAAAATAGATTAAGTACATGAGACTGAACTGGTGAAGTAGCATTTTATGACTTCTGACTAAAATATTGCTGATTTTCTTCTAGGCTTTGTGTTCCAGTTTTAAGGATTTCTGTCCTGTCTTGAGCTGTTAATAAGTTTGTGTCCCTACTATTTGAACAGAATCCTAACCTGTTTCCTGACTTTAAGTTTTAAGCCAAGTTCCTTAGCATGTCATTGATTTTTGAAAGTTAAAAATGCTTTTCTTGAAATTACCAGCTGAACTTGCTATTGAAAAAAGTTAGATTATTTAAGAAATTGTGTGATTAATAAAATGTGGTGGAAAAGGAATGGAAGACAAATATAGACACCAGAGATAGTGTGAGAAGAGGGTGGGAAAGAGCAGAGGGTCATAAATAAGGGTAGTGTCTGTGTATATATACATATGTATGTATTCAACTAGAAGTGGAAAATTATTGACAATAACATGTATGATTAAGCCACTATGCAGTATATTCTGGATGGAAAAATCATATTTTGTATGCTGTGATGATACTTAGGGACTTAATGTAAATTAATTTTAAAAAAGTGTCAGAAAAAAAAAACACTGACCCTCTCCTGAAGCAGGTCTCTTCATCCTGTTGCTATAAAATCAGGTGTATATTTTTTTCTTTCATTGTCTCTGATTTTTAGGCCTTTTTTTAAAAATCAGTGCCGCCCAAAATACCTGAGATCTTTCCCCTATTTTTTCTTCTGTAGTTCTGTTTTGTGTCTTACATTTAAGTTTATATATTTTTTTCCTGACATAGATAACCACTATATCCAGCACCATTTATTGAAGTACTATTTTTTCCCCAGCCTATGTTCTTGGCATCACTTTTGAATTTCAGTGGCCAGCAGGTGGTGTAGTAGTTGAGAGCACTGGAATCTGACATGATGGACAGCAGTTTAAGTCTCAGACCTGGAGGCTTGCTTTCTCACTCTCCCTGACTCTTTGTTCAAGTTAAAATAAATTGTAGTCATAAAAATTAAAAATAAAGTCAAATAAAACAAGAGGTTCCTAAAAAAGAGAGAGAAGATACAAACCAATAAACCAGCTATGGAAGTAAAGACATTATTTCTGACTATATAGAAGTAAAAAGCTTTTTAGGAGAACACAATATATACAAAATAGTTAATAAACTTTTGCCATTAATCAGTACCCTTAATGTAAAAAATACCCATTAATTTAAGACACCAATCATAGTTGAAAGTATCATAACTGTCAAAGACTAGATGCATACAATGATTGTTTTTAAAATGAAGTTAAGAATACAGTCATTTTCAATTACTTTATAAGAATGTAAAGTCAGTACCTTTTTGGTTTAAAACCCTAAAGTTGTGATACAGTCTTATGACATAAACCCTATACTTTATTCGGAAACTCTTCTGTTTTTTAAAGCTTTCCAAGAATTCTTATCAGGCCTTATCAAAATAATATAGCACTTGGAGGCAAAGATGCAACCTAGGAGCCCTGCACTGGAGGCCAAGATGGAGAAAACCTCCACGGCCACCATGAACTTCCCCTTGGTGCTGTGGTATACGGGGACAAATGTGACCCAGACACTGCAGAACACCAGCATGCTGAATGTGAGGAACTTGGCTTCATTGAATGTGTCAGGTAGGTTCCTGGCCAGAAAAGCCACCGTGAAGCTTCCCAGAGCCAAGAAGCCCAGGTAGACCAGGACACCATAGAATGCAGTGACTGAGCCCTTGTTGCACACAATGAGGAGGTTTCTGGGCTCAGAATATGAGTCTATGTCAACAAAAGGGGGAGAAGTTCCCAGCCAAATTCCAGAGATAATAATTTGGATCAAGGAGCAAATGGGAATGACAGAGTTGGAAGCCCCTGATAGCAGCAAGCACCTCATGGTTCTTCCAGGCCTCATGGCTTTGAATGCCAGAATCACAGTAATGGTTTTGGCCAAAACAGTGGAAACAGCCACAGTGAACACAAGGCCAAATGCAACTTGTTGGAGGACACAGGTGGTTGTATTAGGATGGCCAATGAAGAGCAAGGAGCAGAGGAAGCACAGCAGGAGGGAGATGAGCAGAATAAAGCTGAGAGCCTGGTTGTTGGCCTTGACAATGGGAGTGTCTCTGTGCTTCACAAAGACTCCCAAAACTATAGCTGTGAGGACAAAGAAGCACAGAGCCATACAGGCCATGGCTGTTCCCAAAGCATCCTCAAAAGCCAGGAATGTCACAGGCTTGGGGAGGCAGTGAGTTCTTTCACTGTTTGGATACTCTTGAGCTGGGCACTGGATACACTGCTTTGCATCTGGTGACAAAACAAAGATCCAGCAATTCAATTTCACAAATTGATTGTCATGTTAAAGAAAATGGTGACTTTTGTGTAATTTTCCACAGATGAATCCCCAAGGTAATACCAAGATATACCAAATTAAGAGCCTATGTTGATGACACTGGGAGAATTCTTTCAGCCTCAGGTGGCACCAAAATGATTTAAAACAGGAACTCAGCATCTGAGGATCTTGGTTGGTCCATCTTGTGGCTCTGAATGATACTATCAATGATGACAATTTACCCCAGATCTCTTCTCTACACTCTCCTCTGTTTTCCTTATAATGAACTTTAAATTTCCATGGCTTATCATAGTTGTTCCTCATGACAGACATGCATAGTTTTATTTTTAATATTCAGAAAACAAAAAATATCTTGTTCTCCTGGAATATCATAACTTCTACCTCTATCCTAATTTCTATTGATATTTCCTTGTATATAGGATGTCACTTTGTGAACCTACTTTTCTTATTGTACATTTTAATTTTTCTATCAATATTATCATAAATAATCCTATGTAAATGTTGCAAACAGGTTTAATTTATTTTCTTTTGTAGAGGTTTTTGCCTTAGGGCATGCATGCTTGCCAGAGAGAAAGAGAAAGAAACAGACACAGTGAGAGGAAAAAGTAATAAATCACCCTCAGAGAGAATGGTCATGCTGTAATCTTTTTTTCTCCATTCTCTTCCTAAGATCTTGGGCATGTACACACACTGGCCCAGTTCTGGCAATGTTTCAAAGCACCATGTTCAGGACTCGAACTGCATTTGGCCATGTTGGAGTTCAACAATAAATGACTATGACAACTGCAGGTCTCAGAAAACTGTAGTAATAAATCACCCTCAGAGAGAATGGTCATGCTGTAATCTTTTTTTCTCCATTCTCTTCCTAAGATCTTGGGCATGTACACACACTGGCCCAGTTCTGGCAATGTTTCAAAGCACCATGTTCAGGACTCGAACTGCATTTGGCCATGTTGGAGTTCAACAATAAATGACTATGACAACTGCAGGTCTCAGAAAACTGTTTTAAAACATTTAAATCTTTAATGGCATTTTATTGCTTTTATATAGCTGTTGTTTGAGGAATTGGTATTATAATTATATGATAGAAAGATGGAATGTTCTTTTTGAGTTATCTATTTACATACATATGAAAACATAATTCATAAAACTTTTTTTTCTCTTTGGGAAGCTGGTAATTTTTTTTCCTTTATACATTATGTGGTTTCTGTTGGATATACTTCTGTTGTTATGTAGCAGAAAAGCAGACACAGAGATTATGGAAATTAATAAGTATGTCTGCATTTCAATTACTTTTTTTTAGAAAAATAGGTGGCATGTCTAATATTTACTCAAGTATTTATTTACTTTTGGTAATACTGAGACAATGTTATTGGGCTGTCAAAAAAGTCATAGAAAAGAAAAAATAACTAAAAATACATCGTGACTTTTACAACTCAATATCTTCACAAAGAATTACAGTGGGGGTCATCAGGTGTCATGGCAGTTAAGATCCTAGTGTGGGAAGATGATTGGAGAAGGAGAGTCTGAGGAAAGACATTAAGGAGAACAAAAGAGGCAAGACATTTATGGGGCATAGAAATGGATTATTATCTGTTGATGGTAACATGTATAGTATCCCCAACTATATTGGTGTGAAATGTGTTCATGTTGGAAAATTAACTTTACACACTAAGTAACATATAGTGATTTAATGTATAAAAGAAATTAAAACCAAATAAAATACATGAATGTCTGCACTCTAGTAGAAACTGAAAGATTGGAAAGTACAGTAGCATGAGGTGCAACTGTAGGTACTACAGATAGTAAGTATAGGGATAATTTGAGGGTGGGTATTAGGGGAGGAGGAAAACAGAGGAAAAATAAGTACATATAACTAACATAAAAATAAAAAGCTATTTGACGATGACAGTGTATATGGTAATGTCTTTGTCTTGTCTGATATGCACTGTACTCATGCTGGGAAAAGCCGTGTTAATAAAAAAGTCCTAGGCTCCCACAAGACTTATTGCAGTTTGAGTCTCAGACACGGTAACTTGCTTTCTCACTTTCCCTTCCTAAATCTCTCTCGTGAGTGTACATGACTTATAGCAAATTTTGATAATAATAATAGTGATGAAAGTAAATAAACGGTTTTTAGAAAAAAAAACAATTAGAGTGATAGCTAATCACATTTTTTTCTGAATTAACTATTTCTATTCTAAAAGTCAGCAAATACTCCAGACTTTTGTCTCAGGAATAGGTTTGGCACCCACATGAATGTGTTTATTTTCTTCTGTTTCCAAAATCTTTTCTTTCTCTATTCATTTTTTTCTTTTTAAATATATTTCTTTAATTTTTTTGATTATTAATTTTAAAATTTGCTCTAGGGCATTTGTGTTCAGCATAGAGAGACAGAGACAGAAAGACAGAGGGAAGTGGAAAAGCAAGTGGCCAGGTCTGGGACTCAAATCATGATCAGTCATGTGGAATTCAAGTACCTTATGAATCATACCACCTACTGGTCCCTAATATTCATTAAAAATTATTTATTTAATTTAATTTGTTATTATTATTAATTTTATTTATTATCATAATCTTGTTTACATTCCATTGAGACTTTACAGTGTATTACATTTATTTTTCCAGAAGGAATACATTGCATATCAGTCAATACAAAGACATTAAAATCTCCATCATCATCAAATAGCTTTTTATTTTTTCAGATTATTATATTATTATTATTTTTTTAGTTCAACCAGAGAGAGAGTGAAAGTGAGAAACCAACCTTCCCAGTCCAGGACTCAAACCACAGTCAGCCACGTGGCTGTTCAGCACCCTTAGCCACCATGCCACCTGCTGGAACCATATTGTTCATTTAAAAAAACTTGCTGTGAGGCACATTCACTCACTAGAGAGAGACACCCAGAGAAAGAAAAAACTTGAGACAGCACCACCTCTGTAAAATAGTCATGCCACAATCCCTTCTGCACCATATTTTCACCTTATCATTATTTTTCACAATATACAAGCTCCTGGTGTATTTTCCAAGTCATCAGGTTGAGGACTAAAGTCACTATTTGGGTCATGTGAAATTCAGTCACTTTGACCACCATGCCATGGATTGTCTCCATACTTCTATTTTTATTTTTTCCTTTACACACTCATTTTCTTGTCATTCACAAGAAAATAAACATTTTTTTCTTGGCATATTCTAACCTAATCATAAATATTTTTACTAATAATGAAAATCAAAACAATTTCTACTGTTAGAATGCCTAAAATTAATACTTATGGAATAATTGAAACCATATTTATTCCATATATATTCGAAAAATTGAAGCATTATTTTTTTTAAAATTTTCTATATTTTACCATTGCCAGTGCCACATTTTATTTTGACAATTGTTTGATTTTATATTTTGTATGACAGCAAATTTTGAGGTGCCTAAGTATAAAATTGATTAGAATGTTGAGTCTTTAATCTTTAAACTATGTTTCTTTTTCTTCCTGCAATATAATTCAATATTCTGATATTAGTCAATTCTTTGTTCTTAATTGCACAGGTATATTTGAGCATGGTTAAAAAAGTTTAAAGTATTGGGACCAGCAGTTAGCATAATGGCTACATTGTTGGACTCCCATGTAGTTGACCACGGTTCGAGTCCCAGACCTGGTGGCATAAACTCATGCCGGGCGCATGTGCATGTGTGCCCAAGATCCCAAGAGGAGAATGGAGGAGAAGGGATTGCAGCGTGGCCATCCCCTCTGGGGGGTGATTTCTCACTTTCTGACTCTCTGTCTCTCTCTTTCTGTCTGGCGAGCACATGCGCCCTATAGCAAAAACCTCTCAAAAAAAAAAAAACCCAACTTTAAAATATTTTGGGACCAGCTTTTGGCATAACGGCTATGTTGCTGAACTCCCATGTAGTCAACCGCAGTTTGAGTCTCAGCCCTGGTGGCTTAAACTCATGCTGGGTGCGTCTGCATGCATGCCCAAGATCCCAAGAGGAGAATGAAGTAGAAGGTATTGTGGCATGGCCATCCCTCCTGGGGGTGATTTCTCACTTTCTGTCTTTCTGTTTCTCCCTGTCTTTCTGGTGAGCACATATGCTCTATAGCAAAAAAAAAAAAAAAAAAAAAAAAAAAGTTAAAAATTTTTTTACCCAGCACTAAAGTGCAAGGGTGACTATTGGAAATCATTTCAGAATTGAGCTAATAGAATGAGCATGGCTAGATAACAGCTTACACAAATATATTTCATACTTGTTTGGTTTGAAATGTCTGACTCTGGGCACAAGACACAAATAAAGCAGCAAACAGGTCTTCCTTCTTGGGGAAGTTTTTGAAATCCAGGAACACAGCTGTGACTACACACAGATTCTGGAGTCTGAGCATAAAAGAGGATTATTAGTCATAATAATATGTTATAAACTGTTTTGATGAGATGTCTCTATTTTTCTCCACTTTGGAGAAAATTATTGCCTTTAATAGTTCAACATTGTGTATCATTTAAACTCCCATCACATTGATATTAGTTAGGTTTTCTTTTAATTGTTCTGTTTTAGAGAGAGATTTTTGCTATAGGGTACATACAGTTGCCAGAGAAACAGAGAAAGTGAAAAAACACTACTGGGGTGATGTCCACACTGCAATCCACTCTTTATTGTCTTCTAAGGGTTTGAGGCAACCATGCACATATGACAGACATGAGTTTTAAGTCTCTGGTTTCAGGACTCAAAACTGCAGTCAGCCATGTGGGAGTCCAGAACTTAACCACTATGCTACCTGTTGGCCACCCTTACAAAGACTTGTAATGAAGAACTAGTATGCTTCCCTCTGATCTTTATGTATTATTACTATTTTTAAATTTATGTAAAAATTATTTATTTAACTATATTTATCATTATTATTATTTTTATTTTTAAATTTGAACAAAAATACAAAGAGAGAGAAAAGGGAAGTGAGAAAGCAAGCCACAGGTCTGGGACAAAAACTGTGGTCAACCTTGTGGGAGTCCAGTGTTTTAACCATCACATCACCTGCCAGCCCTCTTTATGTATTATTTGCCAAATATCTCTAAAGTACCTAATTACTGTACCCCATACATATCTGAAATAATCCCTTGTGTCATTCTTTTCTCTTATGTAATCACTTTTTTCAAAACAATCTCAATGCAGGTTTTACAAGGTAAACATTCTGAAAAGCTGTGTTCCCAAAATTATTTATACTAGATCCTCATATCTGGTTGTGTAGAAAATTTTTGGTCCTAGATTTTTAAAATATCTAATGTGATATATAGGTACACAATAAAAAGTTAACTTAAATCTCATGTACCAGCAGAATGATAAGAATGTGGTTAATCCATTTCTAGACTCTGACATTAGTAGAGCACTGCTTTTCATATATTAGCACAATAGACGTGTGAAGTATGATTGTTATGTAAATCTTTTTAAAAAGATTTTTTGCGTTAGGGTGTGTGCACTTGTGAGAGAGAGAGAAAGAAACAGAGACACTGAGAGAGAAAGTGAGAAATTAGCCCACAGGAGGAATGGCCACATCACAATCAATTTTCTGCCATCTCTTCCCAGGATGGGAGGCATGCATGCACATGCACTCAGCATGAGGTTCTAGACAGCAGGTCCAAAACTCAAACTGTAGTCAGTCATATGGGAGTCCAGCATTGTACCTACTACGTCATCTGCTGGCCCCTGTTGTATAAATCTTCTGCCTCATCTAATTGGCTAAGATTATAGTTAATGCTCTGAAATGTTTAGTACAACAAAGAATGATATACAAGAGGCTGGCAGGTGGTGGGTTGGATAAGGCACTGGATTCTCACATGCCAAACTATGGTTTGACCCTTGGATCCTGGCATTCACATTCTGCCTCTCTCTCTCTCTCAATCTCTCTCTCTCTCATCAAATTGAAGAAGGCTAATGATAAATAACAAATTAAATAATTCTTAAAAAATGGTATGCAACATGACAAGAGGCAATGTGAATGGTATCTACAAAAACATGAATAATATTTTAATCTGTACTCTCGTGTTTATAGAATATCAATATATAAGAAGGATATTATTGACAAATGATAAGGGGTTTCAGGATATATAGAGGAATTTTTTTTAGACACACACAAAGTCACACACACACACTTTCACATACATATAGACATATATATGAAAGAATCATGCACTCTACAAAGGTAGAAGACAATTCAATCAATGATGAAAAGCATACGTGATAGTGGTCCCATAAGATAATAGGTTAGACCATATAAATTTCATGCGTAATGTTCAATATTATCTAGGTTTGTGTAAGTGCAATCTATTATGTTCACGCAATGACAAACTTTCCTAAAAATGAATTTTTGGGGGACCAGCAGATGGCACACTGTTTATGTTACTGGGCTCCCTTAAGGCTAAGTGCAGTTTGAGTCCCAGATTTGGCAGCTTGATTCTTACTGGGTGAGAATGCATGTGAACTCAAAATTTTGAGAGGAGAATGGAGGGAAAGGAATTGTGGCATGGCCATCTCCCCAGGGGGTAATTTCTAGCTCTATCTCTTTGCTTCACTGGCAAGCACACATGCCCTACTGCAAAAATCTATCTAAAATAAAAATTAAGTTAAATTAAAAAATGTATTTCTCTCATTAAGCAATGTTCAAGTATGTTTGCATATCCAAAACCAGATTGATTTTAATTGGACTGCTGCTTGAACAAACATAAGAAAACAAATCAGCATATTGAAAACAGATGTTTTTCTATAGTAAGAATGTATGTAAGCAAAGTCACATAGTATAAAGTCAGGATAACAACAATGAGATAGCACCTAACCCTAGTCAGAATGTCTAAGATTAAAAATACAAAAAATGATATGTGCTGGCGGGTGTGTGGTGAAAAGGGAACTCTCTTACACTGCTGGTGGAAATGTAAATTGGTCCAACCACTGTGGAGAACAATTTGGAGATTCCTCAAAAATCTACAAATAGAACTACCATATGATCCAGCAATCCCACTCTTTGGTATCTACCCAAAGGACAGAAGAATACTTCATTGGAAAAGTGCTTGCACATCGATGTTTATTGCGGCCCTATTCACAATTGCTAAGTCATGGAAACAACCCAAATGCCTACGAACTGATGAATTATTAGAAAAACTGTGGCACATATACTCAATGGAATACTATTCAGCCATAAAAAAAATCAACAAAACCCTGGATTTTGACAGGAAATGGATGAATATGGAAGACTTACTGCTGAGTGAAGCAAGCCATGCTATGAAGGAGAGGCATTGTATGTCCCCACTTAATATATACCAAGTGTCCGCCCTCTATAACAGAAACAAATTGACTAAAGGATATAGAAACACAGTATATAGATATAAATACCAGATATAGTGTGTGTGAAAGAGGAGAGTCTGAGGAAGAACATTTGGGGGAGGGACAGGAATGCAAAGCATTAATGGCACAAAGAGATGTGGCATTATCTGTTGAAGATATTTTGTAGTTTTATCAACAGTACTAGGGAGAAATGTTCACCTGTTGAAATATCCATTTTGTAAGACAAATACTAATGTGATTGAATGTATGGAAGAAAGTGAAATGAAAAAAAAATTTAAATAAAAGGAAAAAAGAAAAAAAGGCAGATTTTAAAAAATAATTTGTATTTTTACTGAGGCAAGAGTTTAACTATTCCTTAGATATCTGCCATAGGTCATTTGCTTTCAGCAGATACAAACAAAAAAGCAATAAGTGAAAAATTAATTCTCTGGAAGTTGGTCATGCCTTAAATTCTTTCCCTCATTATCCTCTCAGGATTTTGGGCATGCACACACATTCAAAATGCCAGGTATAATTTTCAAGTCACCAGATCCAGGACAGAAAACCATGGTTGGTCATGTGAAAACTCAGCTCTTTACCACTACAGCACGTTTTGGCCCCGTAAAAATCAAATTGAATGATAAGTTAGTGTGGGAAGTGGGTGGGAGAAGAAGGAGAATGTGAGGAAAGACATTAAGAAGAAAAATAGAAAGGCAAGACATTTATGGGACACAAAATAGATTATTCTTTGTTGATGATGACATTTATAGTATTCCCAACTGGATTGGTGTGCAATGTATTCATGTTGGAAAATTCACTTTACAAACTAAGTATAGTGATTTAACATATAAAAAAATTAAAACCAAATAAAATACATGAATGTCTGCACTCTTTAATAGAAACTAAAAGATTGGAAAGTATAGGAGCATCGAGTGCAACTGTAGATACTACAGATAGTATGGATAGGGATAATATGAGGGTGGGTATTATGGGAGGAGGAATACAGAGGAAAAACAAGTACATATAACTGACACAAAAATAAAAAGCTATTTGCTAATGATAATGTATATGGTAATGTCTTTGTCTTGTCCTATATGCACTGTACTAATGCTGGGGAAAATGTTGTACACTGTAAAAGGTATAGTGATTAAATATAAATAAAAATATAAAATAAAAATATTGGAAAACAAAAACAAAAGAAGCACACAGAAAAGGGCAGTCACACAATTTCATTTCAGGACCCTGTTCAGATACATCTGTATATATTTAACATTGAAATGACATCATCCCTCCTTGAAATTAACAGGCCATTTTATCATCTCTTCATTGATGACCAAGCCTTGATCTTTGGTGCTTCTGTAGACAAAATCTCCTACTTTAACCAACAGCAAACTGTGATTAGAAAATCTCACAAGATTGAGGATATCATACTGTATCATTTTTCTTTTTTCATCCAGGGGCTTGTTATACACAATGCTGTTTATCAACTGGCTTTTCCTCAGAAATGGATGAAGCTGTATTAAAGATAGAATTTACAAATTAGGACTGCATTAAATGTAGAGTTGGACAGTTCATATCTATCAAGTAATCCCTCTATTTTATCATCTCTACCCTTTTTTGTGGGAGCTCAATATGGATTGAGTTGCCACCAGTTCTGTGGTCTTGTGAGATGTACTCTCTTTTTTCTTTCTAAAAACAATGGAGGAGTGATTGTAGTGCATAGGAAAAATTCTAGGATGTTTCCCAAAGAGTGATTTGTACATGGATTTTCATAAAACTCAGACTAACAAAATCTGGCTTGGACTAATTAGAGGCTAAACTTGGTTATTCTTAAAGGGCACATATGGGCCCAGCCAGTGCGTGGTGTGATTACAGTGGCTGAATCACACATGACTAAGCCAGGATCTTTGTTCCTGTACCTGCAACCTACAAAACACACTAGATGGGGCCAACAGGTGACATGATGGTTAACACATTGGACTCTCTCATGGCTAACTGTTCTGGACTTGATGGCTTGCTTTCTGACTTTCCTTTTTCCTTTCTCTCTGTCTTTCTCTGATCAAATTTTAAAATATAAAAATAAATAAAATGAAATAATTATTTTAAAAGAAAACAAAACACTGGACTCCTGTGTGTTCATGTCCCAAATTCCAGATAAATACAGAGATGGAGAAAGAATCCCATCATGACTATTCCGCATGGATGGTGATTTCTCACTTCCCCTTTGTGTCTTTCCCT